TTTTTGCACAGAGCAGAAAACTGCCCACATCACATCAATAGGAAGTCACAGTCTGTCTGTATTCTCACCCTGTTTCTGTCATTTTTGTCCGTCGTCTGGTCATGGTCACGGCATATGCATGCACAAACAGCACGTTGGGATTTCCATCTCCTCTCTAAGCATGCTCACCATGAAGCTAGAGCCACACTGTGACTTCCTCCATGAAGTCAGCCAGCCACTGTAGAAAGTGGTCAGACCACTGAGGAGTGAGGACGGGAGGAAACGAAGCCCACTGAGTGCCAGAGCTGAGAGGGAAGAAGACCAGCCCACAGTTCAGCCTGTGACCGCTGCAGGGAGTGTCTTATTGGTGAAATCATTAAGGCCACTCCACGTAGTTCAAAGGGAGGTTTATTTTATGGGGTAACTTACAAGTGAAGGGATAGTTTACAGGGTCTGGAAAAGGTGTAGCGCAGTACGGCAGTGTTCTCTGGAGAACTCTGCTCGGTCTACCTCCAGTGTCCAGGGTCCAGGAACTAGGAGAGCTGGTACATCCGGATCTCAGGTCTTCAGGGTCCTCTCTTGGCCCTGCCTTGCAGGCGTGACCTTTACCGAAGCCTCAATGGGGGTTGGAACTTCCAGATCAAAGCTGGAATGGCTACCCACTACAGTGTCTCACTGAGCTGCCTCAGTGTTCTACAGAGTCCGCTGCTCTCCAACCAGGATCACTGACACTCAAGTGGATGTCTCCTGCAGGTTCTAGACAAGGCTGACTCACCTGCGTGGGGAGGTAGTGTTCAAGGAAACCCCTGGCAATGGCTTCCAAAGTGATGAGTCTTTTAGAACCTAATCCAGGCAGTACTCTGCTGAGGATTCAAAAGCTACTGTGAAAAACAAGAACTAGAAAGCAGCGAAAAGATTGGCAGCCGACAGTAAGCAGCAAATGCAGAAGCATGTAGGCCTCTTGGTGAGGCACACGACCTCCAAAAATGACTACGCTTTGCAGATAGCAGCCGCCTTGTCAGTTATTTGGATGCCAACTCTGTCCCTTGAGGCAAATAAGTAACTCCAAAGGAAGAATAGTAGTAATCACAGTAACTTCACCAAGGACCCCTTGCGTAGCAGCTGTGTTCTGCCCCAGTCCATTCCCAGACCTTTATGTGCTGGTGTGCTGTAGTCACACAGGACCGGAGGCTTTGGGTCCTTCCCTGGCCCTCATGGTCTTGACTCTGCTGTACCTCCAGACAGATGGTGGGAGAAGACGTGGTGGCGGTGTGTGGGTATTTACCAACAATCAAAGCAATGTAAATTAAAATAATGAGAAGCTGATTTCACTTATCTCAAGAGGAAAAAGTAATTATAAGCAGAGCCAAGACAGTTCTGCAAGCCCATCTGTCCTCCACATACCAGGTGGGGCTATAAATTGAAGTGGCTTATCTAGGGTGGATTTGACAGCATGTCCCATGATCTACCCATTCCTTCTGTAAGAATTTATTCTCAATGAGCTGAGACTTACATCAAGTGCTAGTGGACAAAGTGTTTCTCAAAGCGTGCTGGAGCAGAATCCATGTAGTGGTCAACACTGGTCACAGCATGTGTATATTATGGAATACTGTTTAGTCATCACAACTCAAGGCTAGAGGGAATTTATCTTATAATGGCAGAATTAAAATGCCATGGCTATGGACTTGGTGGTGTGTACCTGTAACTCAGCACTTGGGAGGAAGAATAAGGATCAGGAATTCAAAGCCAGCCTGTGCTACCCGAGGCCTCACATCAACAAATTAACAATCACAACAACAATGGCAGAAGCTCTAGTGATGAGTAAAACAGACGGCAGTGACCAGTTGACTGGGCCTTCTCCTTCCACTTCTCTGGTTAACATTCTCTCCCAGATTCTTACAAATGGTCTCATTCGGGAAGACTGATTAACCTTTCTGTGCCCTGGCTTCCTTACCTGCTGAAGGTAAGGCGGTGGTGAATTTTAAGTGAGACAATTATTTGGCACCCTTGGTACTCTGTATTGCACAGCCATAACCGTCTGATAAACGTTAGCACTGAGTGACCTCTGTGCCTCAGTTTCTCCCTTTGTAAAATAGGAATGACAGTCATTCCTCCTTAAAGCCTAGGTGAGTGTGTGGGAGCACTTGGTAAATCCGGCAGACAGCAACCAAAGAACCATCTCTACCTGCTGCTTGTACCCCAAGCCTTAAGGAAGAGGCACACTGATCAGATGCCCGGACAGCTAAGGCTGCTTGAAACCCCAGGTCCTCACACACAGCCATGGGAACGATGACCAGTGCTCTCTGGGTTTGGACCTTGTGCATGTTCTTCCAGTGTTCATTTCAACAAGGAATACATTGTATTTTGCTAATGTATGTTTTCAAAACAATGACTTTAGAGTTATTCTTCTGTCTGGCTAATCAGAGCAGCTGTGTTCCCTGAGCATCTTACAGGATTTTCTGTGCAGTGTCCAGCTCTGGTCATTTGTGGGGAGCATCTGGGTACTGTACTCAGCACAGCAGTATTACCCAACACTTTCTCAGCTGCATTAGAACTGTAATGTAACCCCCTGGATGCAGGCTGGAGTCATTTGGGAAGATTTGAAATATAATGATGTTGGGCTCCTTAATAGTCCAATCAAATCCCCACATCTGGAGGTAGGGCCTGGACTTTGGTAGTTTTTGGTTTAAGGGTATTTTTTTAATTTTTTTTTATTATTTTAAGTATCTATGTGAGGGCCTGAGTGTATGTATATGCACCATAGGCATGCAGGTGCCCACAAAGGCCAGCAGAGGGCATCAAATCCTCTGGAACTAGAGTTACAGATAGTGATAAGCTACTACATGGATGCTGGGAACTGAACCTGGGTCCTAGAAGAGCCACAAGTGTTCTTGACCACTGAGCCATCTCTCCAGCCCCCTTTATTAAAGGCTCCCAAGGAAACGTAGATGCAGTGAAAATCCTCACTAGCTCACTTAGAAGTATTTTCCAAATTATCTGAGGATAAGAGTCTCCCGGGGAGGGCGAGGAGGTGACTCAGTAGTTAAAAGCACTTGCCTTGCCAGCTCGAGACATAGAGGTCACATCCCCAGCACTCAAGAAAATGCCATGTGGCTGTGGTGGACTGCTTGTAACTCAGCCTGAGAGGCTGAGACTAGGGCTATCTGGAGCTAGCTGGCTAGCCAGAGTAGCCGCATCTGCAAGCCTTGGGCTTTATTGGGCGGCCCTGCCTCAACAAATAAGGTTTGGGAGAATAATGGGGGAGGATTCCCAACATCAACCTTGGTCCCCCATATGCATGCACATACACATGCACCCCACGTGTTCACAACATAGATGATCACACACACACACACACACACACACACACACACACACACACACACACATATGCGCCAAAAAAAGGGAAAAAAACTCCCCTGATGTACTAGTTAAACGTAGAGATGCCTGGATCAGAACAAGATTTACTGAAGCTGAGCTTTCTCAAGGAGAAACTTGGTAATATGCATATAGACTTGTGTCATTTAAAGGTGGACTATATTCTGAGAGGCACATCATTATTTGATTTTTTGGAATTGTACGAATCTAGTAGGCAGTAGAGGACATTGCCTTTTGATGAAGCCAAGAGGTCAGCTGATACAGAATGCTGAGGCTGCCCTCAGCGTAATGCAGCCAACCAGAAGTACACTTCAATAATAAAATAAATAACACACTCATTTATTATCACGTATCATGTTTCCATAATTGTACTTGCTGTGCCTTTTGAGTAATGGGTTGCACCATAGTGTTGCCGTAGCTGTAATATCACTAGGTGGTAGGGCTTCCACTCTATTCTAATCTTCCTATAATCTTCACTGTCATATGTGTAGTCTGTCATTGACTGAAACATGCTTTGCAGTGGGGCATGACTGTTTAACATACCTGTGTGGTGATTCTCACCATCAGAGAAATGTGGGGACTCTGCCAGAGCTATGGTTCTTGGAAGCACCAGGGGACCCTGTAGGTGTTCTGTTGCCTGGTCACCCCCAAGGTCCCAGATTCTAACACGTCTAAGATACTCCTGGGCAATGGGATTTTGAAATCCCCTCGATTCAAATGTGCAGTCCCTAGCAAAGTAAATTCCCAAGACCCCCAGGACCATCACCCTGTGGGAACTTAACCCATGTATAGTGTGGTATGCTATCTAGTCACACTGAGCTGGGCTGGGAATGGGACCCTGGGACCTGGCAGTGTGCCTTGTAGGTGTCCCTTGGTGGTTCTGATGTGCTGTGATATGCTGCTTTGAAGAGCAGACTCCCTCAGATTACACAGTTGCTCTGGGCCATGCCTGGCCTGTCTGCAGGTGTCCTGGGACTGCTTGGAGAGAACACTACTCCTCCGGGGTGCTCCCTTAATCCAAGTGTTTTGAGGTTGTGAGGTTTGTGTCCTCTCTAGTACAGCCAGCATCCCTGGTGTTCCTGTGGATAGCTTGCTGCTGCCACTTAGCCCTTGGTGACAACCATGACTGGTGGGCCTTGTTTTCTTTATAGTTGGCAAAATCCTGTGACTGGGGACTGTCTTGGTCACTGTTCTATTGCTGTGAAGAGACACCATGACTCTTACGAAAGAAAGCATTTAATTGGGGGCTTGCTTACAGTTTCAGAGGTTCAGTCCATTATCATTATGGTGGGGAGCATGCCAGCAAGCTGGCACTGGAGCAGTAGCTGAGAACTACATCCTGATCCATAGGCAGAGAGAGAGATTCTGGGCTCATCAAGGGTGTTTGCAACCTCAAAGCCCTCCCCCAGCGACACACTCCTCCAACAAGGCCACACCTCTAATCCTTCTAATCATTTCACATAGTCCCACTCTCTGGTGACTAAGCATTCAATTATATGAGCCTGTGGGGGCCTTTCTTATTCAAACTACCACAGGGACCAATTTTTCAAAGGTGGTAACCCAAGTCTGATCTTGAGCATCCATCGTTGAAGCAGACAAGGGTGTTTTTTGCCTCACATAACATCTGCCTCTCTATTTTGCAGGTTTTCTAATCAGCCCGTCTTAACATGGTCCTCTCAGCCCCATATTGGTAGTGACCACGCCTACCGGAGCAGAGGCAGGCAGGAGGGCAGTGGCTTGCTGGGTCCCAGGGACTGGGACGATGTGGAGATCAGAAGAATGGCCCAGGCCCGCAGTCTGCCCATCCAAGTGAGAGAGAGCCCGTGGGAAGTTGCAGGAAGGACAGAGCATGTGATAAAGAAGGCCATTTGGGAAGAAGAGCTGAGGACGCCAGCTCCTGCTAAGTGGCACAACGTGAGCTTGGAAAGCTGGGAGCAGCCGAGGAAGTTAGGGAGGCAAGTGTCCGAGGGTGACAGAGAGAAAATGTTCCAGGACCTGTACCAGTTTGTTCAAGGAGAGCACGTGCTGACATCTCAGAACAAAAAGAAATCCCAGTCATTGCCTCGAGTTCTTTCTCCCGAGAGCCTGCGTTTCACAGAAATCCCTGTTTCACTACATGATGGGCACTTACCAGGTGTCCCCAAAGTGCCACCATACCCTCCCAGCTGCCCACCACCTTTGGAACCCACAAGGAATCTTGAGAAAGGTAGTTCCTCAGGCCCTTTTCCCCGGCCTAGGTTTGGGAAACCCCTTAAAACTCCATGTTCTGGCTCTCACCCACAGCCCAGGGGAGAAGATGCATTTCAGGACCACCAGCACAGGGACCCACGTGGCTCCCAGCCAACAAGAAGTAAGGAGTCCAGGCATGAGGTGGGCGTGCTGGATACGGGCTTGGGGCCTCCGGTGTATGTGCCTCCACCTTCATACAGGTCACCCCCGCAGCACATTCCGAACCCCTACCTTGAAGAGCCTGTGCCCAGGCACATGAGCAGCAGCCAGAGTCAACAGCAGCAACTGCCTGAGAAAGCTGAGGCCAGCTGTCCACTTCCTCCTGGCTCCCTTGTAGCGAGGAACCCCTATGATCCAACGCCTGGCACTCCCCCGCAAGGTCTCCCCCCACACCCCTATCCTTTTGCCGCCCATGGGGGTTCTATTGAGTACATTCCATTTGACGATCCACGGATCCGACACATCAAAGTAGCTCTGCCCCCAGAATACTATGAGAAGGCAAAGCTTGATGACATACCCTATAACTCTGGCATCACTACCCACGAACCAGCTCTTGGGAGAAGACAGTACGATGGTGCCCTTTTATCACCACAGGGCCCAACACCCCATTCAGGCAATGAGCAGGGCTCAGCCTTTGCTCATTCCAGTCCCCGGTGGCTGCGGGGCCATATCCCTGTGGACATGGAACATGGAGGCTTCCCTGGCCAAACAGAAGAGCCTGTCATGAGAGGACTAGGGTCTGACGTGAGAGACAGCCAGCCGGCAAGCCTTGCCTCTTCCCCGCAGCCACAGAGTGAGGGTACCTGCAAAACCTACACCAAGCTCAAAAAGTTTGAAACTGGGATTCAGACCAAGAAAAGTTCAAAGAAGAAAGCCAACGCAACCATATTTTGTTTGGTTTCTGTCCCAGTTAAGTCTGAGTCGCTGCTGCCAGATACGGATACGAACAACAATGACTTGAAGCTGGGAGCTGATAAGACGCATGGGCTGTGTCAGGGTCCAGGCCTGGAGGAGCAAAGTCTGTTGAGTATGTCTTCCACTGACCTGGAGCTGCAAGCCCTCATGGGAAGCATGGCTTGGAGAAGAACATCTCCAAGGCAAGGTCTGGGGGAGCCAGAAGATGGCCAAACTGATGACCTCAGATTCCTCCACCTCATCAAACCCAGGGAGCTCCAGCCTTCCGGCTCCTGGCCAGGCCACCAATACAGGGACAAGCAGACCCAAACCAGCTTCCCTGAAGACTCCAAAAGCTCACATCTCCCCTGTGCTACAAAGCCAGGAGAGTCTAGCAATGCAGCACCGACCCCAGCGTGCCCAGAGCCCACTGCCTCCGAAGTACACCTGCATGCAGCCTTAGCATCCGGTGACCCAAATCAGAAGCCCAGTGTACCTCACCTCCGAGGGCAGAGGTCCCTCAGCCCGTCTCGCAACAGTGCTTTCTCAAGGACTTCCCCAGCCATAAACCAGGCATCTGTGCCAAAAGGGGTCTCTGGTGAGCCCCCTGGGGCCAGCCCTGTACCCAAGCCGGAGGTGGTGAAGGGGGAGACCACAGCAGGCCAGTGCAACAGCACACAACTTTTTGGTCAGTTTCTGTTGAAACCAGTTAGCCGCCGGCCGTGGGATCTGATAAGTCAGTTAGAAAGTTTCAACAAGGAGCTTCAGGAAGAGGAAGAAAGCCATGGTGCTAGTGGGGGGAGCAGTCGTGAGGACAGTGAGACAGAACAGCCAGAGGACTGTGCTGACTCCGGAGCCAAGACCGGAAGCCGCCATGAAACCAGCCAGGAGAGGAGAGCAGAGCCTCAGCCTGCAGCGCTGGTGCTAGAGGAATCAGGGTTCCAGGCAAGACGACCTGGGAATGAGTCAGAGAATTGGAGTGAGGAACCAAGACCTGGCCGTGCACGGGCCCATCCACAGTCCCGGGGCCAGTCACAGGAGGAAGACAGCAGAGGTGTTCTTGTCCGGCAGCGGCGGACAGATGGAAGCCTGGTTGCAGAGCAAAGCCAGGAGGTTCTGAATGGGATGTGTGAGCGGGACGTTAGCATGAGTCCTCTGAGCAGGATGGCTCCCAGCGACACAAAATCAGCCCCCTTTTTCTATCTGGCAGAACTGAGAGGAAGTCAAGAACTCACTAAAGTCAGCGATGCTCTAGGGTCTGTGCAGCGGGGCAGAGAGACCCCTCCAAAGGTGGGCGGTGGTGACGAAAGGGACAGAGAAGTCCTACTGCCTCTCGCCGACAAGTACCGAGGCCTCTCAACACCAGACTTGAGGTCTTTGGGGCTCACACTGGGACAAGAGCAGAATGTCTATAAATCAGAGCCTCTGGGTATAGAGAATACCGTGGAAGTCCTCCCAAGTGAGTCTCTGCAGGAGAGGGCAGAGAGGATCCTGGGCATTGAGGTGGCCATGGAGTCCCTCCTGCCAGGTGCCAGGAGAGGAGGACAGAGCCAGCTCCCTGAGCCTGATGCAAATGCCTGCAGCCTGGAGCCATCCAGAGAGGACTCATCGCCCAGCTTGGCACCATCAGGGGGCCGCACAGTGGCCGCTGATGCCTTCTATGGCCGGAGAAAGTGTGGCTGGACTGCGAGTCCCCTCTTTGTAGGGGACAGGGCCCCTCAGGCTTCTGTGTGCTCAGATGTGGATGGGCTCCCTGCAAGCCAGGCCACCAGTCCTGAGCCTGAGAAAAAGGATGAGGAGGCAAAACCACCCTTCAAGTCCACTCTGTTCCATTTCATGGAAAAGACTTCAAGCGTGGTGGGCTCCGAAAAGAGGCTCCGAAGCCCTTCCAAAATGATCGAGAGTTTACAGGAAAAGTTGGCATCGCCCCCAAGGAAGGCAGACACAGATCGCTTGGTAAGAATGAGGGAGATCAGCTCCTTGTCTCGGATGAGGGGTCTGAATTCCAAGAGTGCAAACTCCATGGAGGAGCCCGACCACCTAAAGGCCACCACGAGTCAGGCCTGGCCTTCAGGAGGCCTTATGTACCCGAGTGGTAGAGACCAGGGCTGGCACGCAGGACATCTGTCCTCTGTCTCTCAGGATGTCATCCCTCAAGAAGAAAATGGGCATCCGGAAGTGCCGAAGGAGAAGCTGTCCAATCAGGACTTGTGGTGTGCAGGTGAGGAGTCGGGCCGGAGGGCAGGTGCTGCTGTTAGTTTGGAGCTGTGTGACCATCAGAAGCATGACTAGTTGCTGGGTATCCTAAGCTCAACGCTGGCAATGGTTCCATAGAAAGGTGTTTCCTACAGGTGTGGTGGCTCACACCTGTAGACCCAGCACTGGGGGGCTGATGTGGAAAAAAACTTGAAGGCCAGCCAGGGCTACAAAGCAAGATGTCATCCTTTAAAAAAAGAAAGGAAGGAAGGAAGGAAAGGAGTGAAGGAAAGAAAGAAGGTCTGGTGAGGTGGCCAGCAGGTCAGGGCACTTGCTGTGCACGCTTGGTGACTAAGCTCCCTCCCTGAGACCCAGGTAAAAGTCATAGGAGAGAACGCGGTTCACAGAGTCATGGACCTCCTCACGTGCACAACAAGAACAGGGAATACATTAAAAGCAAACAAATAAGCTCATTTTAAAAAATTACCCAGAAGCTTTCCCAACTAAGAATCGAGATCTTGTCCTGTGTTTTGAATGATTATATTACTGGTTTAGTTGACTAAGAAAACAGCTACATAAAATTATCCGTGTAAACAACTTCTCGGGCCTCTGACTATGTTGCAGAGGTTGAACATTATACAGAGCACTCCATCTTGGCTGTGGCAGCTCAGTGGCACATGCTGGCTACAGAACATTTATGCTCTTGTTTTCTGCCAGAATAATAGGCATTCACCCACATGACCCTGTTGATCGCTCTTTGTCAACTGGTTATTTTTACTTTGTTATTGTTTTGAGATGAGGTCTGTCTTCTCCAACCAGGCTGGCCTCAGACTCAGAGATCCATCTGCCTACAGAAGCCAGAAGAGGGCATCAGATCCCCTGAAACTGAAGTGACAGACAGTTGTACAGATATAAAATACACACCCAGGTTTTAAAGTCTCAGTACAGAAGAACCTGAAATAGCTTAATAATTTTACATTGAAATGTTACATGTTGAATGATAATATTTTGGAATGATTAATAGAATATATTTTGGACATATAAAGTATACTATTAAAGATAATTTTACCTATTTCTTTTTATTTGTTTTAATGTAGTTATCAGGAATTTTAAAATAACATTACATGGCTCACACTATTTTTGTTGGATCTAGACTGTGAGCTAAAGAACTTATTGTTTCAGAGAATTCTTTCCATAGCTCCCTGTATGTGAGTCCTTAGCCTCAACTTTGGGTGTTGGGATGCGGGTACATTGTGTGGTGTTGTCTTCAGTGTACCAGAAACCGAAGGGAGCAATTCAGTGCCCAGTGCCTGTGTGACGTGAGGCTCCGCCTCTCCCTCATTAGGAGTGTGGCACTTCACATTCTCTGTTAGCAACCCTCCACTGTGTTCTCAGCACATGAGAGGACGTCTTTGCTCACAGACATCCTCAGAATCAGCATACCTTGAGCTCCAAATATAGCACTGAGTTATAACTATCTTCTTGTGTGGTCACATGGTGTTGCTAAGGGTAGTGTCAAGCGGTGTTAAATCATGGGAATGCTTCTTAGCCAGGTGGCCCTGGGGCAGTCCATCCTGTAAGCAGGCTCAGGCAGCTCCCCTAAGTGCCAGCTCTGTCCCTCTAGTCTGTAGCGCCTGCAGAGTGCTCCCAGCACAATCTTAGTTTTCAATATCTCAGTGCCTAGCGTGTAAGCGTGTGCCAGTCAGAGGGAAAAGGACATGGTGTAGCTTTGGGCTGCAGGGGATGGGATAGAGGCTCTTCATATGGCATCTTTTTCCAGGTGCATTGCAGGACATTGTTTTCTATAAAATTAGACCATCCTGCAGGCTTTTAAAAATCATCTTTTAGGCTCTGGTGAGCCTTGCTGTTACTTTTTCTCTATCTTCGTTGAGGTATTCACAGTAAGTGTGTAAGATGCCACTGTCTTTAAGATGCACATTATGTTTGAGTGACCATATATTGTGTGCTAAGTAAGATAATCAAGCTAATTAACATAGCCTTCATCTAACAGCCTCTTGAATGGAGGTCAAGAGCACATGCCCTTTGCTAACTACATCCACCCTGATGTGCTAACCTCAGCACACCTGTTCATCTTACAGGTGCAGTTTTATACTCTCCCAATATCTCCCCTCTTTTCCAACCCCTAGCTCCTAGAAGCCACCATCCTATTCTGTTAATACAGGTGTAACTTAAAGAGAAATTCTGCATGTGGCATCACACAGTGTTGTGCTTTCTTAGCTTAGCACAGTGTCCCCAAGGTTCATCATCTGTATCATTGTAAATGACAAGATTTCCCCCTTTTTGAGGCTGAGTAATGTCCCACTGTGTGTATATTTATGTATAAACAGACATTTTCTTTACTCATTCATCTGTTGGCAGACACGTGGGTTCTCACCTCTTGGCATAGACAGTGCTGTATGAACAGTACAGTGGGCATGGATGTGCAGCCATATTGATTTCCTGTCCCAGTAGTGAGATTGCTAGATTATGTAGTAATTCTATTTTTGTATATATTTTTGAAGAATATCTGTTTTAATGGCTATCTTATACTCTTACAGATTTGTCAACCATTTTCTCACAAAAATTTAGGAATGTTAAGGCAGTGAGCTCTGACCACAGGAGGCTCACGATTGAGCCTCAGGTGTGCCAAGCTTCCAGAGCTCCGAGGGTGAGAGCCTCTGCTCAGCAGCACATGTTTCCTATTTCGGGGGCGGTTGGCATTACTGTCCCTCAGTATAGTGCTCCATTTGGGAAATCCAGGTCATCTGGGCTCAGTGTGAGATTCTTCCAGTGCAGGCTGTAGAAGGTCATCGTGGTGCGAGAAGGTCCTAGAAAGTGTGCTGACAAGCAAGCAGCCAGTCCTGGTCCTTCCTGATGGCTGGTAGCAGCTGGAGACAGGAAACCTCTTCTTTCTGGCCATGCATGTGACATTTTAGGTTCCCCAAGCCTTGAAGAGAAGAATTTGTTCATAAAGATGCTTTCAGTCCCTCTCAAGGATGGATAGGAATGCAGGGTTCTGAGTTCAAATCTCTCCAACCCAAAGCCAACTGTAGCAGCATGTCTGTAATCTCAGTGCTGAGATGACAGCCAAGACTGGATTTCTGGAGATCATTGGCCAGCCAGATCAGACAAGTGAGTGAGCTCCAGGTTCAGTGAGAGACCTTACCTCAAAAAATAAGGTGGTCATACAGGGAAAGAAAAAATTAAGAACAAAGTGGAAAGCAATTGAGGAAGACATCCAGTACCAACCTCTGGCCTCTGCACACACTTGTATGTACACACACACACACACACACACACACACACACACACACACAGAAAACATCAAAATGAATCAGCATTAGGGGGTTGAGTGGCATTAGCACATGCCTTTATTCCCAGCACTCTGGAGGCAGAGGCAGACCAATCTCTGAGGTCAGCCTGGTCGACATAGTGAGTTCCAGGACTATACAGAAAATAATAATAATAATAATAATAATAATAATAATAATAATAATAATAATAATAATAAAGGGCTTAATAAATATTGGTGTTTGTTTTAAAAAAAAGAATCAGCATTAGGTCAAGGTGTTGCTGCTGGTTAAGGGTCAGTGAGTTTATTATTTATATTGTACTATGGCCATCAGTATACTGAATAACTCAGCTTTGCTCATCTGTATTTATTTGGTAATGATCGTGCACATTCCTTGAAAACAGCATTTCAGCCATAGTTTCTTACTCCTTGGTGAAATAAGTTTGCTAAAGTATCTAAAAATCCGTTTTCTATACGTGTGAGTTTTGTTCTCTAATGTACTTATAGTCTGAGGATTAAACATAAAACATGGCAGGTGAATGTCCCACTGATCTTCCTTCTTGTTCGCAGAGTCATATGATCCCAGCCGAGTGGAGAGGGTGTGATGGATGCTGGTGAAGACCCCACTACCTTGGCTAATGGAGTGTTCTCTGGTTAACTCACCTGTCTTGTCCAGGCTGACTCTGGAAACTGCTGGGTTTCCAGCATTCCGACTCCTCCTCTGCCTGCCAGTGGGAAATCCGTCATCCCTACAGAATTGTTATAGAGCTAAAGCAGTGGTGTGTAGACACCTTCTGTCTTTATAGCATGGATATATAATTCCTATATTTAGAAATGAGTTTTCACATCAGTTCCCCTTCCTGGTGGATTAGGCCGAGCTGGTAAATAGCTTGGTGTTAATCTGGTTTTATGTGAAAAATCAAATGTGGAAGATGCAGTGGGTGATTTTGATTGGACCATAATGCCATGCATTCCCTGCTGCATCTCCCCAGCTCATGCTCATGTTTAGGGGTGTGGCCTAGGCCCTCCGCTTGGTATTTGAACACTTACAGTTGAAGGAGAATATGCGTGACTATGTATGGCCCGTTTCTATTACTCCACCTTGGGCAGCGTGGGGTAACTGGTAAGTAAGTGCGTGCTCCCAGACTGACAGCAGCTTCCTCGTGTCCCCGCAGGTCACACTTGCACTGTAACTCACCCAAGGGGTGAGTCACGGCATGGGAGCCAACGCGCCGCGCTCTGCTTTGCACTCAGTCTTTCCTAGGTCTTACTCTCTGTGAATGTCTAGATATTCTTTATATGAAAAGTAATTGCTGGTTTAAAATAGACCATGGTAACAAAGTAACTATATTTCTTTTTATAAAATGGCTATTTTTCTATGATGTATAAACTGTTCTTAGGTGGCAGATTTTTAAGGAAGTGCTATTTTATTTAAGAGTCTATCCCTGTGTGTGTGAGGGGCCCAAGAGGGCCCACCTCGGCTCCAAAGCCGTTACCCCTGCTCCAACTTCAGCTCTGCCCCTTTGAACGCAGTGTCAGAGTGTCAGTGAAGACCAATTCCAAGTTCATTCATCATCACAAATATGCTTTGCCGCAGACGGAGCTGGGAGGGTACATTTCAAGTCACCCCTCTCAAAACTGGCTGACAACTTGACGGTCATTTGCAGCCATGTCCGCTAGGATTGCCAGAACCTCATGGTTTCATCTTGTATTTCTGTGGGGAATCTGCGGAGAAGAAACTTTTCTCTTGACCGCCACCTTGCTCCTTTAAAGAAAGATCTATTTTTGTCTAGAATGACCCTGATTCCCTGATCTTGCATATTCTAAAAAGTGCTTGGAGACAGTACATAGGTGGCATCTGCGTGTGCATATGCCGTGATGGAAGTATCAAGAGGCCTGTGGTTCTACTACTGCATTTGCCTGCATAGTTCATGCATTTTGTGGCAGTTCACTCTTCTGTCTGAGGAAGACACCCTTGCTAGCTAACATTTTCCAAAGGTTTTGTCCCCTCCTTTTCCCTCCCTCCCTCCCTCCCTCCCTCCCTCCCTCTTCTTTCCCCTTTTTTTGCTTCCCTCTCTATTAATTTTTTTTTGAGACAGTTAATCTATTTTCAGACATGTCAAATTCCTCTAGTGTGAGTCCATGGCTGGTCTGTCCTCTGGCCCTAAGACAGATTTTGACGGCCTCTTACCTACACAATATTATTTTATTTCCTAAGAACCTCACATGTTCTGACTGGACCACACAGAACAGAATCCAAATAGACCGACACACCTTCCTAGATGTCCATACCTGCAGTCTTGGCTTGCACCTGTTCCCCATGCTCGTCTGCGTCCAGAGCTTGACTCTCTCTCATGGAAAGGGGTGTGGGATGTAGGTCTCCCTGGGGCAGTGGACAAGCAAGTTGGTGATCTGCAGTGGTGGTCGAATCATCTGCTAGGGCTCAGTGAAGGCTGAGCCACCTCCTGGACTTTGTGGGGCTGCACATCCCTCCTTAAAATGAAGTGGAAAGGCCCTGTGCATGTGTCCACATGTGCAGACCCCATGTCTGCATGTCTGTGTGCACACTGGTGCTGTACTGACTTCCTGTCAAATGACCTGATACCATCTAAAGACTTTTTAAGAGAAAGAGAAGGATCCTGAAGGAAAACTGTCGTGCCTTATGTATCTCAGTCTGAAATGGGATGCTCTTCCACTTGGTCTTGTTTGAAATCATATCATGCTTCCCTACAACCATTCGGTCAAAATAGTGAATAGTTATACTTTAACCTTAATTTTTCCAGATTCAAGCCCATATACAAATCTTTTGGAAGGAAGTGGTAACATTACACTTTACCTTTTTATTTTACCTTTAACTTTTCATATCCAAGGTAATATATATCTGACCAAAAACTGTTTTGCTGAGGTCTTGAGTTCAATACTAACCATCATTCCCTATGTAAATTTCACATGTGCCCTTGACTGTTGGTGGAGAAAGTTTCCCACGTTCTGTGTTTGTCAATTGCTTTTCTCATTTCATATGTTAGTATTCAATAATTTGGAACTTGTAAAATTAAAAGTTATGATTTTGACCATTTGAACTAAAAATGATAGGAGGAATTGTGCCTGTGTTGTTTCTGGAATAGCAGGAGGGGGTTAATGGTAGTCTTTGGCCTCTGTGGGGGAATTTTTCTGAAGGATTGAAGATGAGGTATCTACTACCATATTCAGTTGTGTTTCTGTCAGCCCCGGAACCCTCTAAAGATGCAGTTGGCCTCTGGACAGGACCATCAGAATCGTTTCCACATTTATAAACATTTATTTCCTTTATTAATAAAGACCCTGAATGTGCATCACCTTCGGTATTGTGGCTCCCTTACTGGGACAGTAGAAGTGGGTTCTGGTTGAATTGAAAGCCACAAAAAGGATTGCTAGCTGCAAAAGCATATGTCATCCTGTGGTGCCCAAAGAGTGTGTCTGCCCGATTCAACTTTTTATTGTTTGTTTGAAATGATTAGATAATAAATACACCATCATTGGCCCAGTGCCTCCTCCAAAGTGACCAGGGCAGTAGAAGTCTTGTGAGCAGTTGTTAGCGGTGGGAAGCACCATGTGCGGGATCGGCTGTGCAGGGGGGGGGGGGGGGGGGGGGGGGGGGGCAGCTGGAGTTGGGGTGAGGCGGGAGTACAGCTAAAGCTGTTGCAGCCAGGGATTCGTTTTCTTTCTGCTTTGTTTTTGACTGCACATTCTGTACATCTGTGTGTGGGAGGAAAATTGCCACTCAGGACAGGATCTAAGAGACACATTCCAAATGGCCTTTGAAGAGCCTGAATGGTGGGAGGTCCTTGTCCCAGAACATGGGTTGTTTCACTCCCTGACCCTCAATTGGAAGAAGAGGGAAGCGATCAAATACCACCATAGAAAGACTGGTCCCCAGCCTGTATGTTTTGTTAAAAAGAAGAATGGTGAGGTCAAGTCTGTAAATTCAGACCGCAGCCCCTTGAACAGGTCCCTGTGGTCTGACCGCCTGCTCACTTGAACAGTCCAGGCTTCAGCAGCCTTGTGGGAGGCAGCCTAGACTCCTGCCTGTTGGTGGCCTTGACTTTGAGAGCCTCTGTCTCAATTGGGATTATTAATGTAGCAGAGGCCAGGGAGGAGCTTGGGAGGCTGCCGACAGCCCAGTCTACAGTCCACTGCAAGCCTCACAGGACAGAACCACCCTGCTGCTGCAGCCTCTCCCAGGTCCACCTCCCTGCACCTCACAGCAGAGCCCAGGTGCGTGACACTGAGCAAGAGGGAGACCCAGGCAAGTTCAGGACGAGAAGCAGAACTCGGCAATGAAAACCACATGTCAGAGTCAAGGAAAACCGTACCCTCTATCCAGATGGTACAAATCAGCAAAGTCCTTATCATCTGGGTCCGCTGCCACTCCAGCCCCCCACTGAAGCCTGTCAGGCAAGCTGAGCATGCCAGAAATCATAAAGGGTGGTAAGGATAAGGCCCTGGAACCTGTAGGAACCTTGTGTCTGCTCATTCTTTTGCCCAGCTTCCTTAGCACTTAAGGCAAGTGGAAAGGGTCCTGGAGACTGCCCTGTGGTCACCTCCAGATGGGACAGTCTAGGAGACTTGAGCCGTGGGAGGTAAAGGCAGGCGAGGAATAATCAATCACATGGAGCAAGGCAAAACACAGCAAAGTAGCAGGTGGAATGGCAGGATGGAGGCCTCCAAGGAGCCTGCTTCTCTATACAGTGTAGATACCTTTACTCTCTCAGAGTGGCTAGCCAGCTCTTAACCTGTGCTCCAGATAACAGTTTCACAAAACTGTCTGTGTTCGCCATCTAACTGGTCCAGAAGCTGCCTGGATGCCAAGTGCGATGGCTCAGGATATGGGTACTGCAGGGACAGATGGCATAGCACCTTTACTCTCCACCAGAACTCATTGGGGTGGAAGGTCCTGAGTGTGGCTTCCCCCACAGAGACTCACTGACGCAGTGACCTATGATCCATTCCAAGAACTGGGTACAAATTTCCAGTCACTCATGGACCACTCTTCAGTTCTGGGCTTTCTTATCTACCTCTCTTGCTGGGATAGATGCATCTGACTTACAGAAACGGCTCGGCACGAATGGGTTTCCAGAGCATGGAGAACATAGCCATGCTTGATGTTAGGGAGAAAGTTCTGTTAGGGAACTTTGCAGGCTTTAAATAAGGGTCTTTATCCTTCAGGGATTCTGCCTGTCCAACATGGCTGTTCTGTAAGCAGATAGAGACTCTGTGTCCCATCATGCTCTTGGCTTGTTGCTGCTAGTTAAACTAGTAAACCAAGCTGCGGTTCCCAAGTTTTAAAAACTGGGGGCCAGTGAGATGGCTTTGTGGGTAAAGGTGGTTGGCAATGAGCCTGATGACCTAACTTTAATCTCTGACCAACACGGTGGAAGGAGGGAACTGACTCCTGCGACTTTTCCTCTGACTTCCACATGTGTGCTCTGGGACACATGCACACAACACGTGGATCAGTGGAATGGGCCAGAGGGATGAGTCCACAGAAAGGTTCTTGCCTCCAGCCTTGATGACCTGAGTTCAGTTCGTGGGACCCTTATGGTGAAAGGAGAGAACTGACTTCTACAAGTTGTCCTCTGACCTACATACACACACACACACACACACACACACACACACACACACACACACACACACACACATACACACGCACAATAACAATTTTAAAACAATAACAATTTTAAAAAGAAATGCATCCTTCCTCCCAGCTGGAACTTCTGTCTCTCCCTCTCCCATGGCTTTTGCATGCCAGTTTCTTCTCTGCCTAGATGCCGTGTGTGTGGCTCAAGCTTGCTTGTTCGGGGCCTTGGAGGCCATCCAAACTTTCAGTTCACATTAAGATGTCAGTTTCAAAGTAAGGACTTAGCCCAACTTGGTTGATAATTTAATTCACAGATTAAGGTACAAATGAAAAGTCCCCTCGCCAAAGCAGCACTGTAAAATGAAACACAACTCCTAGGACTGGTGGTCCCACCCTAGGCCTGGCTCTGCTATTAACCAGCCTTGAACTTGGCCACCCACCCTGGAATGGGAGAAAGGGATTGAACTTTCTATGGTTCGTTCCAGCTCTGAGATTGGGTGACTGGTTTTTGGCAAGCCTGGAATTCATAGGAATCCTTGCCCTGCCAGAGGGGCAGAAAAGGAGACAGTTGGAAGTTGCGGCTGTGTGGGTCTGAACCCGGACCTCCCGAGGACTGGAGCTCTGCTGTTGTTACCTCAACCAGGGTGGTCCTTTTCCCACTTCCCTTGCCTCACTGTAACTCTGCATCCACTCAGGGCTGGTGATACTGAATTCTGGGGCAGGCCATGGGGTATTTACGAGCCTGGCTGCAGCCCACAGCACAGAGGTCAACGGTCCCTGTAGATGGCCTTTCTTGGGGTGTGGAGCGTGAGGTCTTCACATGCTCTCAGGTGTAGAGTTGCTCCCATCAGGCTTGCTTAGACCCACATGTGGCCTCTTTTCTGGGTGTTCAGTCTACAGGCTGTCAATGTTGTCATTGGCAGGGAGGGATCTGGGGACATCGTTTCAAGGGGATCAGTGTTGGTCCATGGAGCCAGTGGACCCTGGTTTGGTTTCAGTGGGAGAGCCCAACTGTAGTTTGAGTTTAAAGAGGTCCAGACACTCCATTTGCTGTTCCTTTCCTCACTGCCTCTGTCCTGTGCTTCCTACAACCTTGGCTGCTAGAATAGAACCAGCTCAGCCCTACTGGAATATTCTGAACTTAGGATAGCAGGGCCAGTTTGTGTAGAGATGCTGTGCCTTTATTTACCTAGCATTTGTTTTGGGTACTTCAAACACACAACATGAAGACGAGGAATGAAGCACTATCAATTCCTTACTGTGTGCCACACATATCATACATGCTGACTAGTCTAATGGGACACCAAGAGGACTCAGGGTGAGTAATCGCTCCTGGCACACTGCTTGCAGCAACACAAGGATCCAAGCCTGTTTCTATAACCAAGTGCATGCTAGTCATCTTAGCTTCCCGCGCCCTAAGAAGATAATGGAACCCCCTATTGAATTAGAAAATGCAAAGGCAGAGTTCTTACAATACTGCATGTTTGTGAAGATCGGGTGTGGCTATCCATGCCAGTGCTGCACTCAGCAGTGGCTTAAACAAGGTGGGAGCTTATTTTTATCACCTTCTGAAGGAACCTAGAAGTAGGCAGTTCAGGCCTGGCATGTTGGTTCAATGGAGATTCTGTTCCAGAATCCTCATACAGTAGCTTCCATCCTAAAGGAACCTCATGGACCAAGAAGGCTGTTGGTGCCAGCTATCGCCAATACTTCCTAGATAGCTATTGAGAAGCTATTGAGAAGAATTCTCCTCCCAGATAAATTAATTCCCATTGAAGAGTTTCCCAGGAAATCCTACATTTCTAAACCCATATTTCATTTCTAAGAAGTCAAATGGTCACATTAGCTTCAAGGACGTCCAGAGACTTCTGTGTAACTGGGCACCACTGTGGATAGTCAATATTCTGTTACTAATGAAGACAGTGGCCATAGGTATTGCCTGGCATCCAGCAGGTTTGGCATACTTTCTCTAGGGCAGGTGGACACTGGTCAGGCAGTAGGGCAGAGGAGCATGTGTATGCCAGATTCTGGGAAAGTTGTTGAGACAGGACTCTCCTACCCAGGCACACTGAAGGTCCATCTCATGGAAAACTGAGCATGCTCAGAGACAAGGGCACTTTCAATAGTGTTTAGTGTTTCACTGGAGCCAAGGACCAGCTATGGGTGAAAGGGCAGCCCTGGCCACCTGGCACTGCAGTCTACAGGGACTATGGGACACAAACACAGACCCCTGGACATATGTGGACTGGGTAGATTGGTCAGAGAAGGAACCCAGGGTTGGAGAAAACCAGCAGAGCTCACACAGCCCTGTAGACTGATTTTTCTCTAGACTGCCAGCTCACAAATAACAACATGGAGACTTACTAAAAGACTTACGAAAGCTCAGCCTTTGCTTATTCCTAACTAGTTCTTATAACTTAAATTAACTTATATCTTTTAATCGATGTTCTTTTACGTGGCTCAGTTGCGTTTACTCTGTGCTGCCCATCTGCTTCCTCTGTGTCTGGCTGGCAACTCCACCTTTCTTCCTCCCAGTGCTCTCTCTCTGCCCAGATGTCCTGCCTGTCTCTCCTGCCTAGCTATTGACCATTCCGCTTTTTATTACACGGATCACAGCAATACATCTTCACAGTATACACATGTCCCATAACACAGCCCCTTTACCCATCCGCTCCCCGAAGAACCAGACCCCCTTCCCCCTCGAACACTGCTGAG